CTGAAAAGATTGATTTAGGAAATTTAGTCTCAATATAACGTACCGCTAAGACGGTGAATATTTGGTAAACATTTGAATCATATATAAAAGTGTGCATGTATCAGATTCGAACCACTACGAAGTTAAAATTGGCAATTTTCTGACAAATCAGAAATTCGGACTCCAATTTTTTATTTATTTTTTCATTTCTTTATGAGTTTAAACTTTTTTCTAACTTGGCAGATGGAGAAACATAATATCACTTTGAACGGATAAATATAAGAATTCCAGACGAATGCAAGGATACATAATATATTAGCGAAAATTTGGAACATTCGCTTCGCTTGTCTCGACGTTGTAGAAAATTTTGTAATTGTCAATCGATTAAATGAATACTAGAATTCATTTAATCGTTACTAAAGAAATCGTGAAACGATTCAACCTAAGCAACAAGTAAATGTATAACAATGGCCGTGGATGTGAAGCGTAATTTATGAATGCTTGGAATCTACAGCGGAGACTGGAAAAAAAACTGCAGCTCCGTAAAGGGAACCTTTTTTGGACCCAGGAAGTAGCTGAAGTATCTTTACTTTTATTTAGTGTGAGAGCGCGAATCAATTTTTTTGTGAAGTTATTTAGTAGATATAATAATGTGTCTTATAGCACTCATTGTTTACAAATAAATAGTTTTTGCACTATGGTCGAGGCAGATATGTCGTCTAAAAATTGTTTAGAACAATGTATTTTTTTTACCTTCTTAACATTTTCTACATGCTTGCAATTTCGTCTGCCTCTAACTTGTTACATCATGTGTTTGTTATTTATCGTAGAAAGTAATGGTTGTAAGTTCATGACACTTCAGCTTCTAATATTCATCAGGAATCATGTCTCGATATTTCTTTCATTGGCAAAACATTTCTTTGTCCTCATAAGACATTAAACTGGATCAAATAGTACAGACACGCCCAACGTGCCACTAAAATAATAATGCCTTTCACAATACAAGAAGAACAACACAGCTTTTTAATATTCGATAAAAGTATACAAAAACAAAAGGGGTATTCAAAATAAAAATGTGGCCGTTTTTGCAACGTCGGTAAAAACAGTGCACGACAGTGCAATAAGGCTAAAGATAGTGCAAATATGACAGATAACGCAATAAGTATATTTAATTTATTCTTAAATAAAATGGAAAAGCTTGAAAAAATATTGAGACGTAACACTGTCGAATAATGGGGAGTATTTCACTCGAGGCGAAAGATACAAAAATCTGGGTCCTATGCTGTTGTCATTTTTCTTGAAGCGCTACTTTGCGAGGCGATGCGCAATGTACGCCCCGTTTATTCATCACCGCGTTTCGAGACATTACAGTCGAATTCAAGTACGCATGGTCGCAACTTATCCGGACTCAATTTTTTGAGTTGGGTACGAATTGTAATGATGTAACAATCACAAGATTGTTTAATTGCAATCTGTCTTAATGCGTGAGTAACTCACTTATCATGAACACCGTGGCAACTAAAGAAATGAGTTTTTGAAAACCAATTTTCTTAATAATTCGGCCTGGATTTTTCACGTTAAATTTTGCTTCGTTCGTTTCATGCGTTTAAGCTTAGGCAGTACTTTTGAGGTTACGTTTCACAAATCCAAACCGAAACTTTATATTATTTTAACTCATACATTTTTCCTATAAAATGCTTAATGCAAACGAAAATATGAGTACTAAAGAATCATTTATAACACGAATCGATATATAACAGAGATCGCAGATTCTTTTTTTTTAAGTCGACGACATTTCCAGAAACTGCTTTTAAGATTCAATCAAGGGATCTCTGCATTCCAAAATAGGAGTAATGTGCTAAAATGTGGATAAATTAACGGCCTTACTTTCTAAATAAAAGTGAAGAAAAGTATTACCACAGGTGGAGTTTGGGTATAAAAGAAACCTTGTGTCTTCTGATATGGTGGGCAAAAGACAGTGAGTTCATAGAACTCAGGCCTATCCGGCTTTTTTATTCGGCTGTTCCTTACCGTCACATACGGTCGTTATTTTGTATTGGATGTTCATCACGTGGACCAACTAGTAGTGGTCATTAGACGGTAAGTGTGGTACATGGCTTTCTCATTCGAAAGTCGGAGTTGATACCGGTCCTGAGTCGTGGGGGAGATCTCTGCACTGACATTAATCGGTCCAACACGCTTATTCGTCCGAATGGTTTGCACAACAAGGTATATCTCATAAGCGGGGGCACAGCAAACCAAAGTTTTGTGACGACCTAGACACATCCGATCGTCATCACAACTTTA